CCAAACAACAAACTCCTCCCCGCCCCAAAAACTGTTTTCTTAAATGATGGTCACATTAACTTATTATATTCACAATGCACAAAAATCAGTCTCCCCAAAGACAAACAAGCGCACAAAAAAGCAGGGGGACAGGGAAAAATGCTCTTTTACAGTCAGATGTGGGTTGAAGCTGGTATCTCCTTATTCTTGTCTCAGTTCCTGGTTCATCTGAGATCAGGCTGGAAGACTGATGTAAAGATGAGGTCTGGCTGTTGGACTAAGTTTCTTCCTCTTTCCTGTGGCCAAAAGCCAGCTGAGCCAGTGTCAGATGAGCAGGCTGATACTAATCCAGGACTGGCTAGGGTTAACATTCTTAAAACCCAAGGAACAGTTTTGACCTGATGTTCAGTAAGCTTCATACCACTTAAATCTTATAATATAAATAAGGATAGGAAAGAAAAAAAAAAAGATATTGAAATGCCAATAGACCAAAGTTGGCAAAAATGCTACCTTCACTTCAGAATCCTTTAGCTTTTTATAACTGTATAGTCCTTGGAAAACTTCTCAGTCCTTGAAAAAATCTGGAAAGAATTTCTATAATCAGTCTTTTAACCCAAATAATCGTAAACCAGAAATATATCAACAGTCCCGTTCTAAAAAAAAAAAAGGACTCAAAACAAAGGTCCCAGTATGTATTAGGTTCTTCTTAGCATGACTTTTGTTAGGTGGTGCATAGTCCAAAGACCTTAAATCTATTACAGAGTCTCTCTTGGAGATAGGCCATGTCAGTTGGCCTCATTGTCACATCAGGTTATGAGGAGGGTTGGGCACTACAGGGCAGATTGGGAAGGGCATTGTGTGTGTGAGATGTGGAAGACAGCATAGGAGAAGTGAACCAGTGACCAGTCTAGGTGGGCACTATTGGTGGAGTGGAGGAAACTGGGGTGGGGAAAGAAATTGAAATTGCTGGTGATGGTTAGAGAGGGAAAATGTGGTTACTCAAAGTGGAATTTGGTCAGGACATGGGGGCTATGATCCCAGCTCATGATAAAGGACATAGAAATATTTAATAATCATAAGTGTTGAGAACCTTGGTTTGAACCCCCAGCTCCCCAAAACCAACCATCTGCAGCAGCTTGGCATCATACTGGATTCAGTACTGACTCAGAGTGAAAAGCTCACCTACTCACCAAAATCTCATTGTTTTCTGGCAGAAAGATTCGGTCCCATCTATCCTCCAGGCATCTCTTCCTTCCATCTCTGCCTTTGTTGTCTAATACCATGCATCCTAGCTTCCAACTAGACAAAGTAAAAAGTCCCCCTCTGGACTCTGAAATTCACTGAAATTCAGTCACTCCTTGGCAATCACTGTGGAGGAAAAACTGACAGTTTCTGGTCCTGGGCTGTGTTGAAGCGAATATGAAAATAACAGGAAAGAAATATCCTGGAAGTGAAAGTAAATGCAGTGATGTAACTGCTGGGATACTACAATTTGTAAAAGTTACTGTATGGCTAGTGAAAGAAGCTAAGCTGACATCTCTGACTTATCTGTGCAAGAACTACATCATAGACAGCAGCAGTACAAGCTTCTTCACACCACTGCATGTAGTGGCTCCATTTCTCCCCATAAAAGAAGAGTTAAGTCCTTGGCTTGTTTGCTCATCCTGTCAGTATACAGGTCTTTGGAGCTGTGCTCCGGCTCCGCTCCAGCTCCAGGCAAAAACCTGCAGCTCCACTGCTCCGGAGCTGCTCCGTACTCCAGCTCCGGGCTCCGCTCCAAAGCCCTGGTCAGTAATGTAGTCCATTAAACTGGTGGTTTCTGTGTTGCTGATATCTGTCCTTTGGGAACTGAGAAGACCCTTCCTCCAATACAGTTCATATAGACCACCAAGGAGCCTTCAGCTGATAACTTTCAGTCACAAACACTTCAGACCAGATTTGAACTAGTCACAGAAAGGTTAAAGATTAATTTTCCATTAACAGTCCTCTGAGTCATCCACTTCCCTAAAGGCAGCTGATCTCTTCCATGTAACATGAGGGTTGACATAGTTGAATATCACTCTACAGGACAGAATGAAGGTTGTAATTGTTGTACTTAAAATCTTAGAGATTAGTACTGGAAAAGATCTATTAGGTCATCTTATCCTTCCACTTGTCCAATTCAGTGCAGCAAATTTCTATATGTGATATTACCCAGAGTCCCAGTAAAGGTTCTGTATCAGGACGCCAGTAAGTACATAAGTCACTATAGGATCCAACTGGATGAATATGACTCAGAAAGACTCTTGCATAAGCTTCTACTGTTTAGCATCGCCTTGTATACACTGCTGAAGAAATCTCAACTACAAGACAAGTGGGGAACCAGGTCAAAAAAGAGAAAAACAGAAAAGCCAAAATACAAGCCCTACCTTCTGTCACTTTATATATTTTCTAGTATTACATTGAGTTATGATGAACGTTACCCTGTTGATAGTCCTGGGATTGAAATACTCTGATTATCCGCTGGAGAGGTAAAATTAATGCAAATACCCCTCAAATTAGCCTACCACTTTCTCATTCCTGAGCCTGTATAACCACATAGTGTGAGAGAATCGAGACCCATCATTCCTTGACTTCTTTTCTGAAGCTGCCAACAAGACTGTAAGTTATGATGTGAACATCTGTCCACTAGGAACTGTTTTGAGTTTATCCATCTATTTTACAAAGGCCAAGAAATATTGTTCAGATAGTAATGTTAAGTCTCACAAACCCCCTTGTGCTTCTGGTCCATAGCACACACAGTCCACCAGATAATAGTGTTCAGTCACTATCAATCTAGTCTTGGTAGAAAGTGATTTAAAAGGCTCTACAGCCCATTAAACAACTTTCTGAGCCACCTACACAACACACCCTGTCGTCCTGGATACTAATCCACATGTGAGGGGATTCTCAGAAACTTTGATGGAATAGGGTCTGGCCAAACATGAATAATGTGCCAAACCAGTTACTGTAGCTGCAACAGGACTGTTCCCTGGCATTTTTACCTTTAAATGTTTTAGTTGTACACAATGATGGTTAGCTGGTTGTTGAGATGAGTTGGCTTGTTCTACACTGATACATAATGTTCAACATTGCATTAGTTAACATGCTTGTTCACAGCCATATTCAGATAGAGTGAAATTTTGTAACATAGACCAGGCCTAAGATGGCTACTTGTAAATTTTCTTGAGTCTCGCTATCTTTCTCTGTAACAAAATGCTCCAACACTATGAACAACCTGCCATCAAATTGTTCCTAGTAATGTGGTTAATAAATCTTATTTTTATTTTCTACCCTGCCTGATATTTGCCTTGTAACTGATATAATAATTATTTGTCTGCATCATATTTAAGAGTCTCACCTTCCAGAGCATTTTGCAAAGGCTTGTTACTTTAGGCCCTCTCACTAGGTATTTCTATGGTCCCCATCATTGCAGAACCAGTATCTGAGCATCACATAAATGTTAATGTATTTATCCTAGCACCATCCCTGTGAGGCAGATAAATATTATCTCCATTTACAGCGGGGGAATTGTGGCACAGAGCAAGGAAGTGTGCCCAAAGTCACACAGTGTCAGAGTCTGTGGCAGTCAGGAACTGAAACCAGATCTCCTGAGTTCCTCTCCAGCACCTTAACTACAAAACTACTAGCCAGAATTGGTCTGACTTCATTAATGGAGCAGGCATGATAGCAACGACTCCACAGTGTAGGATCATTCTAAAGCAGTGGTTCCCAAACTTTAACAACCTGTGAACCCCTTTCACTAAAATGTTAAGTCTCGCAAACCCCCTACTAAAAATAAATATTTCCAGGGATTTTCTCCTTTACGTGAGTATAAATTATAAAAGCAGTGATCTTGGAAATATAAAATTTGTTTTTATGACATGCTTATTACACACAATTTATTAATTATTATTTATCATTACAGTATTTTTATTACATTATGAAAACGGCAACACTCCTCCAAGAGCTCACTGTCGTAGCTTGCATCACTTTGAATAAGCCTGTTATAAGACAAGGCTCCTATGTTTCATCAAGGAGTATCAGATGTGAAACAGCATGAAGGCATTTAAGAAGCCAACTCAAAGAGTTCCTCCTACACAAGCATTCAGGTCTTGAGCAGTCCAGACTCCAGGCAAACAACGCACGTTACAACAAAGCTTAAACTTGTTCTTCATAATAATTTTAAAAACAATACTAGCTGCCTATTTAATTTTAAAAACAGCAAAAAATATCTGCCTCTCTTTCCATTTCTTGTTAGGAGTCTTGAAGTTTAAGTCTCCTCAGTGTGATAGATATGCTTAGCTCTTGGAAGTCCAGTGGCTCCGTGCTGCTGGCCCCATGCTGCCTGGGGTCCCTAGGGACAGCTCTGTCCGCCATTAGGGAATTTTTTCCTGAGAACCCCCTGTAACATTTCGCAAACCCACAGGGGTTCATGAACCCCAGTTTGGGAACCACTGTTCTAAAGGGATGTAATTTATGGACTCTGCAGCTATACATGGAACCCCAGAGCACATAATTTGGGCAAGTTGTGAATGGACAAGGTATTAACCAAAGATTCATGAAGAGGAGAGAAAGGACCTATAGTACTAGGCCACCTCTAGTACATATCAGGGGTTAGTGCCAAATTGCCATGCAATTCAACGAAAGCACAGCATATTCTTCAGTGCCTTTTCTAGTTTATTTTTAAATTAGCCAGTCATGGGTTCTTCCACCTCTTCAACTGGGAGATTATTCCACAGATCTTATACTTAGAACAGTCTAAATGTCTTTTTTGTCTAATTTTAGTTCACTCATTATATCATCCTAGACAATTCCTTTTATCCCAGCTATTCCCCCCCAAAACTGAAAGAAACATTATTCCCTATTTTCAAACAACAAGGCTAAAACGGTGAAATTTTAAATAATGATCAAGGAATTTTTTTTATTCATTTAAGTTTCAATATCATTACAGAAAATGTTATGGTACAGAGTTGTTTAACATTAGTTTTATTTCTTTGCTCATTTGATTTCCACATGAATGCTGGTAACATTAATATCTGTACAAGATCAGTCTTTGATTTTTTTTTTTTTAGTTTTTAGTTCTGTACATCTTTAAATGTATTGGTTAAAAAGGCTGTCAGCACTTAAGGAAGCAATTTTTTTTGTTTGTTCAAATAAAAGGTATCCAGTTACTGCCCAAGAGTACTGAGCCAGGTGGCTGCTGGGCCGAGAGATATCCCTGAACGCGCAGCGAGGGGGGAAACCTCGGGGCTTGATCGGGTTCCCAGTGCAGCCACTCTGCTTTTGGCACTGTGCACATCAACACGAGATACAAGATAAAGAACAAGCAGAAGCTCTCTGTGAAGCAGTTATGAAGCATACTAATAAGGGAAATCCAAGTGTTGTCTACGCTAGTATAAATAAGCAGACAGCCTTGTTTTAAGAGCATAAGTAGTTGTATCTTAAAGATGAGAAAAAACACAAGTTCTGCAGGCACCTACTGCTGTCTACTAAAAGCTACTGCTATCAGAACTAGCATTGAACACACAAAGCAATTGCAAGAAAGGAAAAAGTTGCTTTGATATAATCAGAATAAATTTCTTTGTTAAGATTTGTTTTTTTAAAGTTTTTTTTAAAAGGTATTTATTTAAATTCCATTTGAAATATAGTTCAAGATGTTGACTATACTGATCAACTTTATCCAATTCAGAAAATCTAGCTGTGCCGTTGCATATTACAGGATACAGTCAATGATATGTGGACATGCATCAAAGCTTCACTCTTGCTGGTGACATCATAGCCTTCCGATGACCATGACGTCCACCACCTCGCCCTTGTGAAGCTCCACGTACTGCTCTGTCTTTGGAGGTAGCATCAACAGTCCATTGGCACTACGCATACTCATCAGACGACTGCTCATCTGATTCCCTAGAGCAGAATGAGAGAAAGATTGCGGTTAACAGTACTACTACCACAATACGCGAAGATGGAAAAAAGGGCTATTCTTAGGAGAAGAATCATGGAGCTAATTTAGTCATGGAGCATGGGGTCTGCATACTCAACGGACATATGGCAAATACCTACAGAGTACCCAGGAGAGAGAACTTTTTCCAGGTTCTCCAAACTTCCATTCACTCACTTGTCCTCCTTGCTATCCAAGCTCCCACATTTCTTCCCCTTACTACGCCACCTTTCCACTGATGTTCTCAAATCTTCCTGTTTTCAGATTGCCTTCCCACCAGTTTCCACTGACACCATAGTTATCTTACAATTTGTAAGTGTGTCTAATCCATTTCATACAATAACTAAAAACCTAGCACAATCTACATAATTCATCCGCTCATAAGAACTCAGAACTCCCACTTGACACCCTCAGACTTGCAATATGTTGTGAAAGTGAACAATTTCAGCTCTGCTGGACCAACTGTAAAGCAAAATACAGAGGCAAAAGTCCCGACAGAGAATACCCTGCCTTTGGCTTCTTGGTGTTCAAACCTAGGGACTGACAGTGAGAGCATTCCAGTTGGTATCAGCTGTCTGCCTGGAACATGAGAAAAGAGGTAGCGCATAAAATAACCAGGAACTAAACCATGTAAAGCTTTACAGATAAAAATCAACATCTTGAATTGCCCCTGTAAAAGTGGCTATTCAGTCAGAGGTGTAGAGCTCCATGTGCGAAATCTACCTATGTAAGCAGTGAGACACAATCAGTACTAACAAGTCTCCAGATAGTCTCCAAGGAAAGCTTCATGTAGGATGTATTGTTTTAAACCAATCCGGAGGTGACAAAAGCATGGGTAGCTGCAGCATGATCTACATCCATCTGAGAGAGAGGCAAGGTCAACTTACTAGCTACATGCCGATGGAAAAACTACTCAAGTACTGCTTCAACCTAGAAACCTAGGAGCAGCTGAGGATCGAACAGCACCCCCAGATTGCAAATCTGGTGTAAAAAGTGACCATATCCTCTTGATTGAGAGAATAGATACCACCCTCAGCTATCTCTACTGGATGTTTCTCCCATTCAGCTAGCAACATCTCTGTTTATTTGGCATTAAATTCAATCACCCAGCTCCCATCCATGCCCCAACTTGTATTTAGTAAGTGTATGAGTGTGGAAGTGAGCATGTGAGGAAGTGCATGTCTATGAGTGAGCACAAACAAGTGTGAGTGAATGTTTATGCAAAAGAACATGTAAATAGGCAGGCTGAGTGTATGCAAATGAATGTGTGTCAGGGAGCATGAAGGCAAGCAATTGTGTAAAAACTGGTGTAGGCTAGCAAGTCTGTGATCTACAGCATCAGTGAACTTGCATGTAAGTATGTGCAGGTGTGTGTGTGTGTGTGCATGTGTATGTTAGCAAACATGCAGTTATAGGCATAAGTGTGTAAATATGTGTATGTATTTGTTTGTATGGTGGATGTTTGGGAGCCTGTCTGTGGGTGTGTCAGTCTACGTAAGTGGCTAACCTGTACTCTGTGCCCAAGGCAGTGGTTCTTGGTGATGCCAAGTCAGTATGCACCGATGGTATTCTGGGCGAGGATCCAATTTTACATCACATGATAACTGCAGGAGAAGCAAAGAGAGGAAGAAGATACAGGCTTTCATTCACATTTCATTAGACAAGCTAGACTTTATTCTGCTTTAGTCATCTGCAACAGGATTGTCAGCTCAGTTCTGACTGTAGAATATTTACTACTGGTGAAGGTTGGGTAAACTCACACAGCTAGTACATTTTATCCCAAGTTTACCTATCCACCTCTGGGGTGGAACACAAAAGATTTTGTAACTGCAGAGCAGCATTATATAACTGTTTAGGACTAGGACTGTAGAGTAATTTATGCAATTGAAATTGTAGGGAGAATTAAGATTGGCAGGAAGTAATTATCTCAACCGGATAAACCCAAGAGCTAATATTCCCTGCTACTGTCAAAAATTCCATGGGCAAGTCAAGTGGTCAGGACCTCAAGCTTACATCTCATTCGAAAGATGGTGCTTCAAACAGTGCAGCTCTCACTAATTACACTCTGTGGTATTGGTTGGGTATTGACTCAGCGGGAAGAGTGGCATCTAGTTAATCAACATCAGCACTTCCTACAGTCCAATCCTTGTGAGATCTGATAGGATCCCTGGACAGAGTGGCATGACTGGTTAAGAGGCAGAAAGAATAGAGCTTGCTGTTGGGATCGCAGGTAGTGTTTGCAGCACTGACAGTTTACGAATCCATAGATTTTTTCCTAAACTGAGCAAATTCAAAACAGACTTCATTAAGAGGAGAGAAACATGGACACAACAGTGATTTTATAGACACTATCTCAAAACCTTCCTATTTTCATTCAACATTCTGATGTGAACAGAGAGGATTTTGATAGGTTAAGTAAGTTGGGCTGACTATATGTTTCCTGCATCTCTAGGTAATCCTTCTACACAAACTTAACAGCTGAGAAAAGCTTAACAGAAATCCCCTTTGCTTTCCCCCTTTTTCTTTTCATCATTTCAGTCCACGTGCTTGAACTCACCACATCCTGTGCCCTCCCACAGGCAGCTCTTCCTGCAATTGTCTGAGCTACTCTTTCAGGCACTGCCTTTCTTATGCTCTTATACTATGTCTCTGACCTTCCTACTATTACTCAAAATTCTGGTAAAAAAAGTCCTTCCTCACCCCACCCCACCGCCATAGTTCTGGGCTTTGGACAGTCAGTTCTTTCAAATGTAACATCAATATGACTCAGCAGAACATTTCTTGATATCAATGACCTTTAAACATTTTAGTACATTATGTAAGCTGCAAGCTTATGGGTGTCAGCTTGGAACACCAGCTAGGATTGCTTTTCTTATCCTTCTTGGATTAGACATCAATGCAGTACTTTTTGACTTGCTTCAGTATTACTTAGTGGACCATGTACATCTTCAGAGGTGCCCTATGCACAGCTGGTACATCCAATGAAATGGCAGCACTTCATAAAAACACTGCCATGTTCTACAATTACACAGTACCTACAGAAAATTCCAGCCTGGAAGAGTTTAGCCCCCTTCCAAATCCAGAAATTGGCTGGAGGAATGAGCTAGAGGGAAAGCCAGCTGCTTATGAAATGCATAAGAGTTAAATGGCCTCCATTGCTCAGTGAGTTGCAACCTGCACTGTCAAGAACATGCATGGATGAGACTGATATTACCCACTATTCAAAGTAAAGGGTCTGGGAAAAATGAAACAGAGATGCAGCAATGTATAAGTGAAAAACGGATCCATCTTGCAGTGATTTCAGGAGCTAAAATGATCATTAAATGAAGCTAGGAATGATGTTAAATGAGCAAATTTGCAAGTATGTGGATGGGCTGGTTTGATAGGCCTAACAGGACTAGCTGGACTGTTATGCAGGAAACTGGGATATGCTTGATTCCTTGATCCAGTCTCCTCTTTCCCTGGGCTGACAGTAGCTTGGAAGAGGCATGGTGGAAATTTTACACTCAGCCCTAGGATTGGGGAGGAGACTGGAGAAAGGGCCTCCAATAGCAACCTCTAAGCCAACCCTAAACTATTCCTCTCCCTTCTCAGTCTAAACACCCATTACATCTTTTCAGGCAATTGTCTTATGACCTTTAGTTTTTGTTTAATCAAATTCAATCTATATTTAGCTTTTTAAAATCTTTCCAAATCTTTAGTCATCTGATCTATTCTCTGCTGTTAATTCCCTTCAATTTATCATCATATCTCTAGTGCTGAAATATCCAAAGTTAGTCAGAGTATGGGGGGAAAGGGGAGTGGGGCGGGCTCACTGAGCCTGTCAGACAGCAGGATCTCAAATATATTTTTCAAATATCCTATATTTGAAAGTCCTTACCCTGGCTTTGATAATGGTGGGCCGAGGATCCAGGATGCCTTGCATTTTCCTCAGTGCTGGGACAACAAAGAGATTGCAGGTGACAACAGCTGATACAGGATTTCCTAGAGAGAAAAACCCAACAGTAGTTCACATGTGAGTAATTCTGAGTTAAGCTGTGAAATGATGAAATAATCTCACATTTCCATAGCAACTTTCATCCTAAAGGATTCCAAAGAGCTTTTCACACTATATACACAGGAAAAACTTCACTTAAATCTGGAGTGGCATATGGCAGTTGTTAAGCAGTACACAACTTTACTACTCAGGAGTTTAGGACAAGAAGTGAAGCAGAATATTGTAGTCAACTGAAATTGAAAGGGAAATTTAGGGCCACAGAATGTAATTTATCAGATTATAATTCAGACTAGACATTGGAATAATAACTGTACTCTTGTAAAAAGTGTCATGGGATCTTTAATGACCGCACATGCTCAGATTCTTCAGGTATTAATTGGGAAGTTGGTTTTTGGCAGTATAATGCCCCCTAATATCATGCCAGCAAATTGTTTTAGTACTAATTCAGAGGGACTAGCACCAGCTACTGATATTTAGTATTGACAGAGCGAAGAGTGCCACCTACTTTTTACAAACAACACTTCTTGCCAACACCTGGGCTGTCCTTGGTGACAACTCTAATAATATACATTATACAATGAGGTAAATGCTCTTCTCATCTATCTCCTGAAAACAATCAATACAGGAGAGAAAGAAACCCTAAGCACATATCTAAAAAAAAAATCACTATCTCATGAAGAAGTGCAGTTCTTTTGTGGTCACAAACGCATGCAAGGTAAACAGAGTAAAGCAAGTTCTTCCTAGCTTCAGAATATGCAGCTTCCGGTCCACACTGCTAATGCAACACTGAGGGTAGGTCTATACTACCGCTTAAGTCCATGTGACTTATATCTCTCAGGGGTATGAAAAAGACACCCCGCAGCCATGCAAGATATATCGACCTGAGCACTGTCCACACTGACACTTTGGCCTGGTCCACACTAACCCCCCACTTCGAACTAAGGTACGCAAATTCAGCTATGTTAATAACGTAGCTGAATTCGAAGTACCTTAGTTTGAACTTACCGCAGGTCCAGACGCAGCAGGCAGGCTCCCCCGTCGATGCCGCATACTCCTCTCGCTGAGCTGGAGTACCGGCGTCGACGGCGAGCACTTCCGGGATCGATTTATCGTGTCTAGACAAGACGCTATAAATCGATCCCAGAAGATCGATTGCTTACCGCCGGACCTGGAGGTAAGTGTAGACCTACCCTATGTCAGCACATGCAGCTGCACCAATGAAACGCTTCTAGTGTATACCTGCCCTCATTCTGTGCATATTGATTTTCAAAGAGATACAGTGAAGTGAGGCAATAATGCCCTCTTTTGGTTCACACACCTTGAGCATGCAGTGTTGTTGTAGCTGTGTTGGTCCCAGGATATTTACTTCTGGAGGAATTCTGAGCCACTGCGCATGTGCAGAATTTATGTCCCCCACAAATTTCTTTGCTTCCCTGCAGAAAAATGACTTTCTGACGGGGAAGCAAAGGGAAGCCACAAGAGCGGTCATGCGACTGTTCCCAGCAGTGTGTTTTGGGTGCCCAGGGCAGCTGGCAGAAAGGTAAATCACTGTGGGGCAAGGGGTGGGACTGGGGAAGACCCGGCTGGTGGCTCCTACTCTGGGCCAGGCTCAGTTGCCAGTCCCTGGGCTAGGGAGGATGGGACTTCCTCTTCCCGTGCATGGCATCCGGGGCCATGACCCACACCCAGATTTCTCCCCTGGCTGTAGGAAGCTCTGCACACTCCCCCCCCCCCATGCTTCCTGCATCCATCACTCCTCAGCTGCAGGTGGGGGGGATCACTGTACAGGGAGCTGCTCCCCCATCCACCCAACCCCTGTGCATCCAGACCCCCTGATGAACCCCCTCCCCCTGCACCCGGACCACCCCAATGAGCTACTTGCGCCTGAATCCCCATCCTACGGAGCCCCAACCAGCTATACCTGGATCCCCACCCCACTGAGTCCCCCAGCATCTGGACACCCCCCCACACCCTCACCCCCTGCCAAGTTCTATCCCCAGACCTAGACCCGCCCCCCGCTGAGCACCAACCACCTTCACCTGGACCCCCTGCAGAATCTCATTACCGTTGCACACAGAAACCCCCCCAACAAGCACCTATGCATCCAGATCCCTTCCACACCCAGATCCCCCACTGAGCCACCTGCACCAGACTGCCCCACACAGAACGTTCTCAACCCACACGTGGATCACCCACACTAAGCCTCTTCACACTTGGATCCTGCCTTGCTGAGCCTGTCCACCTGCACCTGGCACAGAGGGGGCAGGGTTTTGGGGTGCTTCTGGGGCAGGCCAGGTCCTTGTGTTGTGTCAGGGTTGGGTGCGGCCTCACCACTGAGTCTGTGTCTCTCTGCATAGTGAGCTGCATAGTGATCTCTCACCTCTGTGCAGCCAGTGACCTGTGCTCCCCAATGCCATGCTGGAGCCTCCAAATTTATTTGACAAATAACATTTGCAGTATTTTAAAGTATTGTGCGCAGATTTTTTATTTTTTTGATGCAGAATGCCCTCAGGAGTAAATATTAGAGAGACAAGGTGGGTCCAATAAAAGATATTACCTTATGCACCTTGTCACAGCTTCAGGATGACAAATAAGACTACAGTTCTGTGACATATTCTGGGACTGTCTAGTTTTTGTCTATATTAGTGGTACGTCAGATTCTGTGATTTAACTAACACAGATATTCCTGCAGAGAATATCCATTGGGAGGGTGGGGAAATAGGCGGAAAGGAAACTGCACTATATTATTTAAAAAGACAAAGGAAGTCTCTGGATAGAACAACTGTAGGTCCTGTGCTCCATCACATAGTTAGACAGAGGTAAGAACTCTCTAGCATACCCTCAAATAAACCCTTTGCTGAATAAAAATTGGTGGGAAAATCTCAAGTGTTTTGTGCTTAGGAGAGCAAGTGCCAGGCCTCTGACCTTCATGAGGCACACTGGTTTTATTTTATGGATCTCTGTACCTGTGGAGAGCAACAAAAATCATTACAAAAATACCTTACCTGGCAGTGCAAAGATTATTTTTCGTACACCATCAATATCCAAAGTTGCAAATGTTGTTGGCAGGCTAGGGGGAAAGAAAATTGTTAATAAATACACTGAACTCATATCTAACGTGGCTGTGCTATTATAATGTATAGATTACCTTCCATTCCTTTCAAAATCTGAAATTTTCCTTCTTTCCTTTATTGTCACTGCCTTTTTAACGCTTAGAGCACTGTGAGCATAATCATCCTCATTACACTGTGTTGAAGAACTTAAGCTGATTAAATTCACCTCCTTGCCCTCATCCCTCCCTCTCTCCCAACAATCACCTTAACCTGCTCCTCAAATGCTAATCCTTCTCCCTAGTAACCAAATCTCCTCCCAGCTTCCTGACCTCGTGCTAATACCCATTCCTCCTAAATTGTTCTAGTATTATTAATACTTAATCATATTGTAGTAGCCCATAGAATCCCAATGAAGGACTGATTACTCTAACCATACAACTCCCACTGCCGCTCTGGATTTCTCTCTTCTTGCTGACTCTTGTCTCAATTCCTTGAGCCTCTGGGCAGCCACTCTCCAATGACCCAGCCCCTAGAGTACTAACTCAAACACAATCTCACTTCCCATACTATTAACTACACGGAGTTTCCAGGTGTCATCCACCTGGGACCTGCTTAGTGTTCCAAGGGTTAAGGACTTGCCAAATGCCTTCATTCTATTTAGAAAAAGTGCTGCTGCTACAACAGGTATTTTCTGTTTTTCATACCTGTTCTTTATTATTAAGAACTAGCCAGCCAGCCAGCCAACCAACCAACCAGCCCTGCACCAGCTTTAGCCACAATCAGAATTTAGAATCCTGAACTACCTAGTTTGTAAACAAACCACCCTCAATAGTTATTGAGACAAGGAGCTGAGAAAAGACTCCATAGTCTTGGATTTGGAGAAAAGAATTCTCTGCTCCCAGAAGACCCACATTTTTCAGTGGATCCACAGAGCACAGTACCAGCACTACAGTGAAGTAGTGGTGAGGCAGAAGCAGTACGTTCTGTGTGTTTATATATAAAACAAGCACATAAAACATCCTGCATCACCTCAGAATTCCTATATGCAACATTTAGACAACAAGGAGCATTACAACCTAGATGCTACTCCATCCTCCTCTTATTTAAAAGCTCCTTGTTGTACCAATATAGGTGATGTGAATTCTGAAGTGAAGTGAAATGCTTAATGAGCATATCAACAGCCAGAATGTCCGTCCATTTCCCAGCTGCTTCATAGCAAAGCTGGTGTCTGAGCTCTGGCAATATATTTAGGGCTCTGCACATTTTTTAATGTGTTGATTTTTTCCCTGTGATTTCCAACATAGAAATATCTGTTGCTAATCAGCAGTAAGCTTTCAATTCTGGTTAAATTCACTAGCAATGGTAAGGACTGATTTAATTAGGGTTGATACTACTTCCTTCCCATATCCAACTATCCAATGGTTTATATTAGGTTTTAAAATAGCATCTCTACCAAAACAGAACAAAAACCACGTGTAGCAGATTTGGCACAAGGTAAACTCCATCAGAACCACAAAATTAAAAATATTTCTTACCCTGGTTTCATAAAAACTCTGCCAAAGTGAATCTGTGCATGAAGGTCAATGTCCAGCACCTGTTTAAGATAGTCCTGTTTACATTAAAAAAAGAAAAAAATATTAAAGTAACATCAAAGTTGTTTACAGTGGTTTACAGCATCAAAGATGTCATGTACATGGAGGCCCTGTTTAAAGTGTTATAAACTAGTAGGGAATTTCCAGTACTAGAAAGGAGTAACTTGCAGAAAGATGGGTGAGGAAGAGGGAGCTATAGCTCTTTTAGACTCTGAACATGCAATTGACTCAGTGTGGATACAGGGATCCTTGCCCAGTCAACTGCAGTACTGGCATCTTCAAAGTGTCCAAAGATATTCACTACAGGAAATTTTTAATGCCAGCTTGTGAAATCTGGTGCATACATTCCAAAGACAAAAACATTTTTCTTTATGAGTCAGGGCTAAGACTCAAACCCAATAAAACTACTTTTCTTTTGAGACTGTAAATTAGCTACTAGTGGAATTCAGTGATCAGCCAGTACCTTTCAGAACTAGGATGCACTGTAGACCTCAAAGTCTCTCAAAAGGTCACTGTAGTTTTTTGCAGTGTTATTGTAGCCACATTGGTCCCAGGATATCAGAAAGAAAAAGTGGGTGAGGTAGTATCTTCTATTGGACCAACTTCTGCTGATGACAGAAGTTGGTCCAATAAAAGATATTACCTCACCCACCTTGTCACTATAGGTTTTGTAATTTCTTGGGGACATCATATAATTCACAGCTATAGGTTATTTAACTAAAGTTTCTGTAAGAGGGAAATTAGTGAGCCTACACTTTCTGTGCGTTGGTTCAAGTTAAATTATTTTGGATCAACACAATCAATCCATTAGATCAAAAAGTCCGGAATTCCTTATGCTGTCTCTCTGTTGATAATAGCTGTGCTCACAGATGTGTATCATAACTGAAAATAACAAGCCTATATAAGTTTATTTCTATTAGACTCCATGCATCTTAAATTAGGTTATCACCTGCAAGAAATGTCAGTAAAGAGAGACTTTAGAAGCAATGAACCCGAGGTCCCTACGCAGATTTCTGACTTTTTTTCTTAAATCTATTTTGTCCAAAGCTGTGACCCTTTTTCTGTCATGACACCAATTCTTGATTGTTGACTCCATTAAGTCCTTGTCTTTAATTTGCCATCTAAATTCTCCTTAAGATGTCTTCAGATATTTCATGAACACTACCAAGAGTCCAATATAAAAAGGATGGATGCCTCAAGGAATTGGTAATGAGATATGGAGCCTTTCAGCTTTAGGCTACTGTCTCAAATGCAGTCTAGATGAGGAGTGAGCAAAAATTATTGGCATCCAAAGGCTGTTCAGATACCTTTGTGAAATGAGGTGGTGGTCTCAATTCAGTTCCTAGTGGCCATGTGTCTGCATGACACCACTGTTCTAAAAATTCATGGATCAATCAACACTTTCCTTTCTGATCACAGTTCCAGGGCCAGTGACTGTGGACTTTACAGGGCCTGAAAGTAATTTTTACTGGTCCAACAAAATGTTTCTAGTTCTCCCTTAATGCAAGATACTAGCCTTTTGAAGAGAGGATCTGCTCAGAAAACTGACTCTAAAAATGGAACCACTGAGCTTACTGTTTATCATCTCTCAGTGACTCCATATAAAATCTGCTCTGTTACACCTAGATAAATGTTTATTTTAACTGCCATTCATGTAAACACAACCTGGGATAAAAGTCAATTTGATTTTTTTCCTTCTCATATGTCACCACAAGTTTTAAAGGTTCTCCAGGCCCACTTATGCCCTTTGTGACATCTGTCTTCACTGATTTTGCACAGGTACTACCAACTGCAACTTAGCAAACAATTCTGTTGATGATTCACAAGAAGGCAAATAATCCAGCTCACTATCTTTTATGTGTGCTGTCTCTACAGAGGTAAGAGGAATAAAACACAACAAAAACTATTTTAAGGTCAGCAGATATAGCTCTGATACACTCAGAGAACAAATCTTTCAGTAAGAAGGAGCCAGTTTTACACATTCACTTGCAGAGTAGCTTGCACTGCTACTACCCACATTTTATACTCTATGGATAAAAAGAAGTCTTTAGTCTTCAGATGCTGTCAATCCAGCACCTTTCACAAGCACTAAATTTATATGATCACTCCTTAAATGAAAACTAGATACAAGATGATTTTGGAAAGGGCTGATTCCAACAACACTTAGAATCTTCCCAGCAATATCACATACCCACTATAGTATTGAAACAAAAGCATAAAAGAAGGACAATATTAAAATTATTTTTTTAATTAATCCACCAGTGCTGGGTCCAGGGACCTGGAATGTCCTGGTAATAATCATGAATACATTAGCAGTTGCCATCAGGAACTCCTGACCTCATGCCTGGTATTCTTATTGCAATGTAGCAACCATGCTTCAGCTTATACCTTTTCACCCATGGACACGCCTCCTGATGTGATGATAACGTCCGCACGGCTGATACCCTCATTCAATGCATTCAGTAAATCATCTGGGCTGCAAGAAAATCAAAGCAAAGAGATTAATGAACAGAGAAATATTTTTAGGTACTGGATAAAGTAAAACATAAATAGATCTTTGCACACTCAAAATATAAGGTAATCATAGACTCATAGGACTGGACGGGAGCTCAAATGGTCATCTAGTCCAGCGGTTCTCAACTTTTCCAGACTACTGTACCCCTTTCAGGAGTCTGATTTGTCTTGCATACCATAAGTTTCACCTCACTTAAAAACTACTTGCTTACAAACTCAGGCATAAAAATACAGCACACTATTACTGAAAAATTGTTTACTTTCGCATTTTGTCTGTATGAAATTTTAGTTTATACTGACTTTGCTACTGCTTTTTATGTAGCCTGTTGTAAAACTAGACAAATATCTAGATGAGTTGATATATCCCCTGGAAGACCTCTGTGTACCCCCACACTGATCTAGTCCAGTCCCCTGCACTCATGGCAGGACTAAGTATTATCTAGACCATCTCTGACAGGTGTTTGTCTAACCTGCTCTTAAAAATCTACAATGATGGAGATTCTACAATCTTCCTAGGCAATTTATTCCAGTGCTTAATCACCCTGACAGTTAGGAAGTTTTTCCTAATGTGCAACCTAAATCGCCATTGCTGTAATTTAAGACCATTGCTTCTTGTCCTATCGAGAGGTTAAGGAGAACAGTTTTTCTCCTGCCTCCTTGTAACGACCTTTTATGTATTTGAAAACTATTATCATGCCTCTCTCAGGCCTTGGCTACACTTGTAAGTTACAGCGCTGTAAAGCCTCCCCCAGTGCTGTAACTCACTCCCCGTCCACACTGGCAGGGCACTTGCAGCGCTGTATCTCCCTAGGTACACCACAGCAGGTACTCCACATCTCCGAGAGGAATAACAGCTGCAGCGGAGTGGCTACGACTCACGGGTGTGAGTGTAAACGCTTGCAGCGCTGTACTAATCACCTTGTCAAGTGGCCAATCCTCTCCATTGTTGTGACCGGCTGCAGGAATGCGTAAGTGCCGGTTTCAAAGCTTGTACCACAGAGAAAAGCAAACAGTTTGCAGCTTGCTTTGAGTGAGTAAATGAATGAGCAGGGGGCCGGGAGTTCGGAACTTGCAAAATAGAGAGCTGACATGCTCCAAAAAGCACTCTTTCTCCCCCCACACTCCCTGTCACAATCCACCCCCCCCCCTCCGTTTTGAAAAGCACGTTGCAGCCACATGAATGCTGGGATAGCTGCCCATAATGCACCGTTCCCAACACAGCTGCAAATGTTGCAAGTGTGGCCACACCACTGCGCTGGCAGCTGGCAGTGTGGACAGACTGCAGTGCTTTTCCCTACTCAACTGTACGAAGACAGGTTTACCTCACAGCGCTGTACAGCTGCAAGTGTAGCCAAGGCCTCAGTCTTCTCTTCTCCAGATTAAACAAACCCAATTTTCTCAATCTTCCCTCATAGGTCATGTTTTCTAGACCTTTAATCATTTTTGTTGCTCTTCTCTGGACTTTCTACAATTTTTCCACATCTTTCCTGAAATGTGGCACTCAGAAGTGGACACAATACTACAACTGAGGCCTAATCAGCGCGGAGTAGAGCGGAAGAATTACTTCTTGTGTCTTGCTTACAATATTCCTGCTAATACATCCCAAAATAATGTTTGCTTTTTTTTGCAGTAGTGTTACACGATTCTCTGTTTTCTTTCATAGCACTGCACACCCTTCTTAAGTAGATAAGCCAGGTTTACTCATGAGCAAGTGATCTAATCAAACACCATGTAATTTGATTCAGTTCTGGCCAAGAGGTCTATGAAGATCATTGTTAGAGGTATATAAATGTGCAAGACTAGAGCAATAGGGGGCACTACAGGTTAGGACTGAGGTGTACTGGCAGAACAGCATAAGGGGCTCTGGCACTGGAAAAGCAAAATGACCTTCAGGTTAGGATTTAGGTGCATTGGAACAGCTGCTTGTGGGAAGTTTGCATAGTGCCTCACCACACTTTGCCAGGCTCTAGTCCACGCTATTAGTCTCCCATTGTCATGAGCAATAAATCCATTCATAAAGATTAAAAAAGGTGAGAGTGATCCCTTTGCTTGGTCCTCAGCACATTGTCTAAAGTCAATCCCAATTTCCCAAGCTTTTTCGCTAGTTTTATTCCACAGTCAACCAAGGGAAAGTAGGGCTGTCACCTGACATAACATACACTAGAATAGATACATATTCAGACACCAAGCCCTTCAAACAGGGATAAATACTTTGCATCCTATGTTGAAGTAGAGATTCAGACTGATGCAGAATCAGGAATACACTGTATTTAATGGTGAAAATACTGTAAATGGGGCTGAGTAATGGAAGGCCCCTTAATAACATATCTAACCAATCCCTTCTTCACTATCATGCTGACATCTTATTTTTTGAAAAATAAACATTTATTATTAAATATCCAAACTTTCATCTTCAAAGCTGAGTGACACGGATTAAAATAAATTAAAATAGTTCCAAGCCATCTATCCTTTCTACTCTTTATATAGTTGTACACCAGAGATCCTAGGATGCTGTTGCAAACTGCAGGAGGCCACAGTGACCTACTACCCACCAGTCATTACACACAACTAAAGGGTAGACCCATGCACTGACTAGGAAATTTCACAGGCAATACTGTTTGGCGTGGGTGGAGATTGGGTGTGCAGGAAAATGGTCAGGGGCTGATAAATAATAGACATTGGTAAGAAAGAGTTGTACTTTGCCAATATAGGGGGAACATTAACTGAAATAACCAGCCCTTCCAGTATATGGTTGACTCCGATTATGAGCAAATTAGTGTATCATCCAGTACATGGTATTAAGTCAATTGCCCCTTATAGTACATAGCAGATAAAACATAGTGGCACTGACCAAAAAAATCCAACAACAACAAAAAACCCTACAAAGTTAACATAAAATAAACACTAGAATAATTTTTCTCCAATATATTACATTCAAACTCTTTTCCCTTAAACTTCTGCAGACAGATGATCTAACCCACTCAATTTTTCTGGTGTTTTGTTTATGTAGGATTTCCATTCAACACTCCACAACAAACTGTAGGTGTTTAGCAATCTTCAGGATCAGATTTTTCATCTGTTATGGACTGAAAATGACTGTTCTCATGTTCAAAAGCATAAATTTAGAGCAGGTGTTCCCAGTTTCTGTTTCTGAGCCCCCAAACTACCCACATTTTCCTCCCAAGGCCATGTTTCCCAGAATTCATTGCATGTTACACAGAAAAGACCAGAAATGCAGTTCTCTTGCTGTTCTGTACTCACAACTTTGGCTGCTTTCCCCTTCCAACAAAGGTCTATATTCCTGCTCACCTTCGCATTCCTCCCAAAGTCATGAGGGGCTGCTTATCTCTTACTGTTCCAAATGTCTTTGGGGCTAATGGTGGAACTCACAGCAGCCCTTCAGCCTCAGAACTCCTCCTTCTCCCTCTTTCTGAAAACCATGGCTGAGCAGCTCCCCTGTTTTAGAGCTTACAGTGTGGACACTTACTGAGCCTGAGCACTGCACAGACCCAGGGCCGGCTCCAGGCACCAGCTTGCCAAGCAGGTGCTTGGCGCGGCCACTCTGGAGAGGGGCGGCATGTCCAACTATTCGGTGGCAATTCGGTGGACGGTCCCTCACTCCCCCTCAGAGCCAAGGAGCTCCCGCTGAATTGCCGCCGCAGATCGCGATCGCAGTTTCTTTTTTTTTTTTTGTCGCCGCTTGGGGCGGCAAAAACCCTGGAGCCGGCCCTGCACAGACCTCATAGGTGAACACATGGGATATGTCTATACTACAGCTGGGAGTGAGCCTCCCAGCTCAGGTAGGCAGACTCCTGCTAGTGGGGCTTGAGCTAGCGCACTAAAAATAGCAGTGTGGACACGGCTGCTCTGGCAGAGACTGGGACTGTCAGCTATTGCTGCAACCTCTTTCTGTCTATTACTGTTCAGCTACTATTATATTGATGAATAAAACAGAAGATGCCCAGTCTACATTAAGAGAAGTACAGTTACCATGAGAAGCTAAGAGAAGGGGATTCCTGTTTGTCTATATATCCATTCTACAGAAAAACAACATGTAGAGAATGCACAGGCAAGCACTCAAAACTTGGCAAATACAAAAATAAGAGTGCACGAGTAACCTTAACTTTGCCTCCTTCTGCATATATATTGTAATACTGTATTTAATTATTTGATAATTATATTTCTGTAGTGGTAGTGCCCAAAATACGTTTGGGAGTGTACAAACATATAGGAAGGGACAATCCCTGTCAAGGTCTGCTGTTTCTAGAGGCATCTGCTGGAATCCGTGGTTCAAGTGTGGGTCTGGGAGTTTTGTGAATCTTTCTTAAATAATACAATATAGTACACCTCTACCTCGATAGAACGCTGTCCTCGGGAGCCAAAAAATCTTACCGCGTTATAGGTGAAACCACGTTATATTGAACTTGCTTTGATCCGCCGGAGTGCGCAGCCCCGCCCCCCCGAAGCACTGCTTTACCACGTTGTATCCGAATTCGTGTTATATCGGGTCGCGTTATATCGGGGTAGAGGTGTATAATTAATTTTTTCTACAACATTGGATATACAAAAGAAACACCATCTACTGTAGTGTACACCAGACAGAGAGTCCACAGACATCATTTATATATCAGATGTGTAGAGAGTGAGTGACCTGCCAGCACTTTTCCACAAACTTCCATAACTGGTGTGGCATAATGTAGGTGTTGTTCAGTGATGTTGTATTTTCTCTTTAGGAAAATGCAGTGAGAGTAGGGTTGTGTGGAAAATGATTTTCCTAACTTGAAAATATTTTAAAGATCTTGAAATGTTTCTCAAATTGAAGAGACAAAAAGTCAAAATCTAGAAAATATTCACGAATAAAAAATAAACCACCCCAAAACAACAAAACCTTTTTTTTCCATTTTGGTTCAGTTGAAACACTTTGTTTTGACAATTTCAAAATGTTTAATTTTGATTTTGAAC